CGTAACAAAATAGTAGATTGTAAATAATATAACGTCATTTAAATTTATAAATACAAAACACTTTTAAATTCTCGAAAATAATAATATTATCCAAGAGATTAATAAAAATAAATTCTATTTCTTGATTATTTTGTAAATTTATATTTTTCAGTCTGAAGATCAAATTAACGGTATACAACAATACAGTGGCTAATACTAATTTATTTGTAATCCAAACACTACGATTACAATAATTATAATAATTAGTGTGGTGCAAATTCACATAATTTTGTCTGTACGAAAATGTTAATCAGATTTATTTTAATGTGTACTAAAAATGAACATTGTAGAAGTATAAAAAAAGCTTACACAACTACAATATTGGTTTATTTGTTATTTTGCAAAGCTAAAACTTTATTGTTTTTTCGGCCAACGAAATATAATTGAAAGAAATAAAAACTAAAATAGTTTAATGTTAAGCCACACAAAAAAATGATAAAGTCCTTAGCTGGTATGAAACATAAACAAACAATTTTTTTTTAATACTTTAATTCACAAAATATTACACCCAAATAAAATGAAAATACACCAAATGAAATAATTAAAAAAATAACATTAGAGACAAAATTGAATGGAATTTTTGATATTTTCGACATTGAAATACAAATATTGTAATTAATAATTTACCGTGAACATTTTTTAAAAACATTTTCTATTGTTTTGTGAACCCGTTTATGCCTAAGGTTGTTTATTCTAGTTTGATATAATGTTGAACAATGTCGATATAAATGAACATGGTTGATATAGACACCAAAATGGTTACCAGTCTGGTGTCGTACTTATTGTTATTATATTATTATTGTTGTTATTATATTACTGAATGCGTTAAATGTATTAAATTGGTTGTGGTTCCAATGCTGTTTCCTGATTCATTAATGTGGCCAGCTCTTGTGAGAATTCGATTTCTTTGAACGAGTGTATCCCCTTGAAATTAACCAAATTGGCTATGTTTTCCCTTATGTATATAACGATCTCTTTGATGTTATCCACTAGACCGCGTAACTGTTCAGTGTGCACTATTGAGCTGGTACTCGCTGTAGAACTACTGTCCGGTTGTTTTGTTTGTACATCTTCAAATATCATTCGTTTTATTATCGGACCGTCGATCAGTACCTTTCCAGTTTGCTTGAGGTTGCCGTCTAATAATTTTTGAGCGTCACTCACTATCTTCAGACTCAGACGTTCGCGGTTGGAAATTTCAAAAAAGAACTGAACGGTCCCGTTTAGGCTTTTGTCGTGTCCTAAATCTAAACTGTCGGCAAGCGACTTTAGTTGGTTTGCTATTTCCCTGTTGAAATCCAGTATTGGCAATACTCGGTCTTCCACACACGACGAGTCAGCAGCGGCCATTGAATCCATTACTGTTAACAGATAACTGTTGATCAGTTGCAACGGGATCGTTTTTAATAGTCTGACGAAGTTTGAAAGGAACTTTATCATGTGGATGATTCGCTGGACCAAAGACGGAAAGCAGTCGGTTTGAATAGACATTTGAAGTTCTCGGAAACTGTCCGGACTGATCTTCAACAAGTTAAAATCTACGTTTTCAAGTGGAATCGCCATTCCTTGAGATCTGAACTTTAGCGCCCTCCAATTACCGTGCATGAGCAATTGTCTAACAACATAGTTCAGCTTGTCGTGTTGATCGAACACTCCTTTTAAATGCAAGGCATCCAACGAATACGCATTGCCGTCGTCCGCGGAACTCACGCCGTGTCTGTCGTTGAAATCTAATTGCTTAAGCACAATGTTTCGGGCCTCCGTCAGTGTCCTGGTCCATTCTCGGTAGCCCATAGCGTTACGGTTCAATACCGGCCAGTCGCTCAGCACTCGTTCTTTTTCGTAGTACAGATGTTCACACAACGGATTCAGAATGGACGCGGTAAGAAGATTCACGACGGACTGATGGACGACCATCGCCGTACCTTGTAGACTGTAGTCCTTTTCGGGATCCCTCATGGCGTCAGCCATTTTCTCCGTATAGACTAGATACGCCCACACGATGTACTTGGCGGTACTGTATTTGCCGAAGTCGTGTATTGTGGTCAGCATGCGCTGTGCTTCTTTTACAAAAGTGTAAATCTCGATTTCGTCGGCGGTCAGATTCGGCTTGGATTCCAACAGCATGTACGATCTAAAGATTTGCGAATGAACGTACAAGTTCAACGTGTAACTGCACTCCAACGTCGCGTGCAGCTTCGCCGAAGTGACTTTCAACTCGCCAACTGTCATGTATGGAAACCTGCCGGTTGGTATGTCATAAAGTTGTCCGTGTCCAAAGTCGAGACCGACCATTCGTTGTACTTTCCGAAGATAGCGTTGCTCCTCTTCCGTATCGTTGTCGAAGCCAAACGTACGCGAGACAAAGCAACACACGACGACAATTAGTAGTGTCGTTGAATTCATGGCGAAACACAATTTCATCGCGGGAATTGCTGTAAAACAGTTTAGCTGATATTGCTAACCGTTTGTTGAACCGTAGTGCTACGCGATGTCTTGTTGTTCCACGTGCATGGTTAGTGCTCTTAAAAAAAAAAAAGCTCTAATCCAACACCTGAGTACACAGTTCTGTACGGCTAACCGAACAATTGTGTATCCTACGTAAAACTATGTTACAAGACTTATTTATGCATTTTATGCAATTATATTAGTTATTGAAAAGAAATTTCCACTTTGAAGTTAATACAGGGTGGTAATCATCGTTTTATCCGCGAACAACCAAAATTGTTCATAGTGTTTTTATACAACGTGATACGCCAATTGTTCACAATTTTTTTTTTTTTTTTTTACCTGTTTCAGGCCTAAAGGCTGCAAAATTAGCTCTACTTGACCGATTTCAGTTCTGTTAAAATATTTAAGTGCATCGGCCTCTTTTCTAGGTTATGGTGGGAATCGATTTTTGACATTCCAGTTATATCAAATTTAAATTAATCGACTTAACTCAATAATCAGATGATTCAACAATAGGGTTTTTCTTATTTTAGGTCGCATATCCAATCAATGTTGTAGATGAAACATATATTTTTACAAGCAGTATTCGATTGTTATGTTATATTTCCTTATTGTTTCCCGTTTACCTATTTCTCTCTCAGACATTTTGAATTCTCAGAAACAATTCCTTTTTTTTTTTTTATCAAAATAAGTTATTTAGAAAGACTCTGTTTTTAAATAAGAACTATATTAATATAAAAATTAAAAAAACGCCAAGACTGTGTATAAAAATGGTACTAAAAGAGACTTCTACGAGTCCCAAACACATTGAGTTCACATCGAAGAATATGAATATGTAAAACACTTGTATTTGACAAACAACATTTAATAATATAATAATATTTTGTAGATATATTAGTTGTGTTATCTACATAGCAGCATTAATCATAAATAATACAGTGTAAAACTGCGAAAATATGTTTTTTTGTTATTATAGAATTCTTACAGTTGGTATTAATAGTTTTTGGTAAACGCGACAAGTACCTATCTACCATTACTTGTGTTTACATTGCCACTGACGTTGTGGATAATATTTTTATAAGCGTGAAAAAAAAATGAACATTTGGTGTAATAAAGAATTTCTATACATCATTTTTGTATGATCTTAAAATTTTAAACTTAAAATGTTCGCATCGTACTACTTGTCATTCCAATATACAAAATTTTCAAACAATTTTGGAAACTGGCATTTTTGAAGCCTTTATTGGTTTTTTTTTTAATTCGGGCTTGGCAGATTTATATATGTTTCAAAAAATATGCTTATATTATAGTTAAGCAGAAAAGGCCGCAAATTATGTAACTGCGTAATCATCATTCTATTTAATTATAAAAAATCATTGTTGCAGAATATTTTATGATTGTTTTAAACTTGTTTTTTTTTACTAATATTTTAATCTGTGACAGATAGTTTCTATTCTACTCAATGCAAAGTGATTTTCTACACTGGTTTCTGTTATTTTAGTTTGGTTTACCCTGTGTGAACATTTAACGGTATAATATTCGTTTTGCAACAACTTTGTACCTACTTCTTTTTTGTTTCGTTATTAATTTTACATACCTACACAGCTGCAATGGTGTTACCTATTATAGTTTAATTTATTTTGCATATAATTGTGCACACGTGTATTAAGCTGAGCTTGTTACCCCTAAGACCAGATGAAGCCTAAATGTATATACGAATTATATTAAGCATTACTGTATCCAAAATTGTATTTTATCACAAGCATTTACCACAAGTTACTAATTAAAAAAAAAACAATTCACATCAGATAAGTTATAATCGACTAAATTTTGATTTTACATTTATGTGTTCACTATAAAAATTCAACCTCAATTCTAATAAAACATACTATACAATTTAGCTCTAGATATAATACAATTATAACTGCATATTATAATTATATACATTATAGCTATGTGTAGGCTGTTCAAATTATGCATTTTTAATTTCAATTTTTTATGAACCTAATTTATTTTTTTGTCAATTGTTATAAAAATAATGGTCATTTTATCAACGTACAAACGCCAATCCACATAATGCAAATTTTGTATTATGCCGTAAGCGCCTAATTATAATATAAACTAAGCATTCGTTGAAATAAAAAAATTCAAAAGTCGTTTCGTTACAGATAATAAAGACAACATTTTGTTATATAGGGCGCCTAGAGCTATTTTAGTGTATACAAATTAAATATTTACATTTTGATGTAAAAATAACTTCACATATTTTGTTTGTTATGCGTCTGCTGTTACAGAATTAGCACTTACGTCAAATAGGCTTGGAGCAGTCGATATATTTTTTATTTATATATATATATATATTCGAAAAGCAAAAAAAAAATATATTAAAACATCTGAGTGCACAAATCCTATAAAATATGTCTGTACGATTCGTCAAAAAAAAAAAAAAAAAAATATCGATTCCGAACGTTTGTTTGTTTTTATTCACTATAAAACTGGAAGTTGTAGGGAGAGATTTTTATTTATTAATTTTGTCCTCGAGACACTAGTAAAATGTACAAGTTCGCTATTTTGTTAATACCGTGTTTCTTAGCTGCTATCAACCCTGTAGAGTGTGGTATTCCAAGATTTCCTACCGACGACGAGGTACTATTGTTTTAGATTTTTTCAAATAATAAATACTTGACTGTACAACTGTGATACATTCGTCTAAGTCATACTTTTAAAACTGTTTAAACTGTGGTTATTGTCTTCAACTAATAAGTTAAATATGTTTCAATAAATGAGTTTTTTTTCACTTTTTTAAACAATATTTAAAAAAAAAATGTTATCTATAAAAATGATCAGCATAAAAAAAAAATTCTTACCTAATTAAAATACACAAATATTAATGAAGCTACAGCCATTAATAGATTGATATTTGATAATCCAAAAAAAAAATCACTAAAACACACCTTAAATATATCTTAGAATATTCTAAGTTCAATTACTTATTAACAAAATATTATAGTCACACGATAAATTAATTTTTTATGGTCAAAAATATTTTTAAAAAATATAAAACTAGTTAAGTACTAAACTTTTTACATTTTCAAATTTTCCCGGAGCAACTAAACAACAATATAAAACACACACGTTTTCTATTTGCTTATTTATTATCGTTTTTTTAATACAAAAACGAATATAATTTAACAGAATATAACAAAACGCCGTTAAAAATATATTTCAAATAAATGTGTTTAATACTGTTGTTTTGTAGCTTCAGTCTAATTTGGATATAACTTTGTGAAAAAAAAAGTTTTATGAAATTTATCCCATTCTTTTATACTAGTATTTCATTATATTTATAATATAAAACATATTTTATAACAGCGAAAACAAATCTAAAAAATTAGCTTTTGATAAAAAAAAATATAATTTTTATTTTATCCAAAAACGATAGGTAGGTAAAATAGTTAATTAATTTAGTCTTGGTTGAAAAATGTATCACGGATAAATGGTTAATTTAATCACGATTAAATCTAAATGAACGAATAATGGATTAACAGTTAATTTCTAATTCTTCGAATGATATAATTGAAACAAATTTCAGGTACTAGAATCAACTTTCAGAGACTATCAAAACTATCTTGGAATTGGTTACAAAGATCTCTATCTGCAACAGTTTTTCGTGTTTGTGGGTGACGATGTAAAAAGTAGAAAGGCTTTGTTTGAATACTTTTATGAGAAGAACATTGGAATTGCATACCGAAGTAACCATCTATTATATTTAATTTATCATTAAATAATACATTTCGATGTATTCAAAAACAAAATGTTTACTTTTAGTAGTTCTAGTTACAGTAAAACTTCTTGGCATTTCCAGCTGTAATATTAACCTATATGATCTAGTTTATCATCAAGGCTGGACAATATGGACATATGAGGGATAATTTTTTTTTTAAAACTAGCGAAATATGAACACAAATTGATAAAATATATTTTTTTCCTAATGGGTTTAAAGCAACCTTTTTTTAATATTAATGGGCTATGTGGAGTGTGCAACTGCTTTTAATGTACAATAATTTGTTAAAAAATGTTTTGGTTTTTTATTTTTGTTTTAGACATTATAAATGTAGACCGATTTAAGACATTTTTGGCAGTAGTTTCCAAAGCACACGACAAGGACGTAGCTTTCTTCGCTAAAGAATGTTTAGAAAAAGTAAAACGTCCTCGTGAAACAACAATTAACGCGACACTATAATGTAAATTAAGAAGAATTATTACATTGTGAATTCCAATTATATTATATCTTGTAAAGACACATGCACAAAATATCACATTCGCACAACTATATATATATATTGTATTATGATCACGGTTATATTATTAAATAAATATATCTCCTACACACTGAGGTAGGGTTGAACATATAATTAACTTATAGTCCTGCACTGACTCATTTCACATGCCTTCCCTTTAAAATAAAGCGATGGAATGTACTTCAGTCCTATTCCTTGACCATTCCTAGTTCTTATCAAATGTACATATAGGCACAGAGTCCATACGCGACCACATTTCCTATTTCTTTTAATCTCAACTGTTCTCCATGCATGTTGCACACCTACCTATCTGTGTACAATAACAGTGGCTGAGAAAGGCTCAGAAAATGCCGTTTAAAGATGTTTAAATCGGATAGGATGCTGCGATAGTCCGAAAAACGAGTAATTCGACTACCGAAAAAGAATCCTAATTGCACATGCCAGTTTAACTTTTAAATTAAGATTTTGCAAAAAAATTTGTCTTTACCTAACCCAACTACTTAATACATAAATAGGGGTATGACGTCCTGTCGACAAACCCCCCCCCCCCCAATTTTCCTATGTAGGAAAAGTAGACATTGGGATTTATGCAATTCGGGAAAAGTGGTAGCAACCCGGTCGAGCACATGGCGGACGACCAGTATGAAGTTGCGCACGAACTGGGTTTGGTCTGATTGATAATGCGCGGTCGTCGATGCAGTTAATAATTAATGTCTATCACTCCAAGATGTTTTTGATCACCAATGGTTTTGTACAAGTCAAGTGAATAATACAGAAGCTGCATAGTGCATTCTCAAAAATAATAATCTGCAATCATACTATTAATTTTTTCAAAAAACTCAATAACAATCATCGTGCAGTACACACCCCCAAGTGTAAAATATTATTGTAAATCTTTAAGATTGTTTCTCGTCGACCATGCAAAACGGTCTTAGAGCGTGGACTTGTGCGACGATGCGCTTTTGACAGTAAGCCCTTGTTGAGATAGTATTTTTATTTTTATTTTTCATCATTGTATCTACCACCGAAACGATTAAAAGTGTATACCATGACAATAAGCGGCTTCACCGAAGTATTCACGACAAACATCACACATGTCGCGTTGGGAACCATTTGATAGGTAATAATATTCGTATTGTTCGTTCCGTTTGCGATATTAATCGTTCGTACTTTGATGTTGTGTTTTTGAAAAAGGTCCCAACAACGGCTTTGGCGCAACACATGTATTCAATAAATTTGATCATCAACCGCACTGCTGTCGATCAATGGGAACCTGTTTTTCATGTTTACGCTCTAAGAGTATCACCAGACGGTCGGCACAACGCAGCAGTGATAACAACATTGACAATGTTATGGAAAAACGAGTCGAAGGTAAAAAATTACATTTTAATGTTCTTCTCGTAGAAACCTTTACAATGTTTTCATGAAACTATTATATTTAGTTATACTAAAATTTAGTCTGCTTGTTTTCTAACTTGATTATATTGTGCGAATGACTCAAACTTTATGATTTTTAAAGTTCTACAGACAATTCAATTGTAATTATTATAACATCGGTGTTTACATAAGGTATAGGTTTAGGCTCTGTAAATTTAATACACCACAATCATAATAAAATTGTAAAAAAATAGGCCCAAACAATTTTGAAAAAATACCTACTTGCTATTTAAAAAAAAGTTAACTTTAAAAAGCACTAAAATGTTTGTAAAAATATTTAATGTACTCTCATTGACCGATTTCTGATATATAGAATGACCTTTTGTGCATGATCTGACAACCATTTTTTTAAAAAAAAACCATGTAATTAAATTATTAATATACCAAATCATTGTGATACATCTTGCAAGGATATAGTAAATAGAGTCCGAGATAAAAATTAAATACTCCAGCTTATTTGCCTTATCCAGGAGATATCACTTGGAGTAAATATTTAAATGATAATTATAAATATAAACATTTTTTTTCAACTGAATTCTTATCTTATGACTTATTATTAATTTGGGACTCGATTTACTTACACCCACCTTGTATGTCGTTGATTTAATTCACAATTGTCCCAATTCTAATATCGCACACTTAGGATTATTACTTCTTTTTTTATAATAAAATAATGTATCATTTCAACTTGAACGGAGATTGGAACCTTAATGGTTTTATCGGTTCTCTTTAGGGTCTGGTTGTTAAAAATGTATAAAATAATGGTTCTGAATCCAAATTTATCATAAGAAAAATATCTGTACCCTTCAATTACCGGTTCCAGTCCCAAAATTGGTTCTTTATGGTCCCTGCTTTAAATATCATCCTGACTCCAATAGGACAATTATTATTCATTTCGAAATTGACTGTTTTTCCATTAAACCACTAAACATCAGACATTTTTTTTTCTTTCTCGATGAGTAGTAGTTTTGACAATAATTGTGAACTAGGTCGATGTATGAAAAAAATCGACCAAAGAGTTCAAAAGTTCTTGTGGGTCCATAAAATAAATAAAGAAAAAATAATACAATGTCAAGAAAGAAAAATTCTTACTCTAAAGGTATGCCTAACTGTCGCTAGTTAAAAGTTAAACAATTTAGAAAATATGCACCCAAAGCTTAAACCGAAGTTAAAAAAAAAACTACTCGTTACAATATGTTTATGTAAATTTCATTTTAATGTAACTAATTATTGTTTTATTTTCTTTTTCAGCACTAAACACAACTGATATAGGTCCTCCTGTAATGTCCATGACCAATGGGACACATAATGTTCCTAACATTGGATTGGTTGGAAGTGATAACTGCGGTAGCTTTCGTTCCTCGTTTACCTGCACTTTGACATCTACACTCAGTAAGACAAACATGCGGCTAAATAGTTTTGCCGCCAAAAGCTTTCAGACCAGGGTACAAAAGTTGTTTGACGTGTACAAGGACGCTGACGACTTGATACTAATTGAAGGAATCGAAAGGCTGTGCAGCGATTTGCAAATGTCTCCCGAAGAATTCCGTATTCTCATATTGGCGTGGAAATGCGACGCCCATCAAATGTGTCGGTTCACGCGGGACGAGTTCACAAACGGCTGCTTTGCTCTCCAGGTGGATTCCATAGCGTCGATGAAGATCAAGTTGTCCGAAATGACCGGTGATCTCGATTATAAAACCGAGGAATTCAAAAGCCTGTACAGGTATACACTTTTTATTGCATTTAAAATAATTTTACTACGTATTCGGCTGCGCACTCGATGGATTATATCTAATTACTATCGTACATTTATTTTAAGGTTTACTTTTAAATTTGGTTTGGACAACGTCGTGGGCCAACGTATCTTACCGGTGGACACGGCCATCGCGTTATGGCAACTAGTTTTCCATGTGCACAAACCGGAGATACTACAACGTTGGCTGAACTTCTTAGAAAGTCAGGAAACCATTAGAGGCATCCCCAAGGACACGTGGAACATGTTTTTGAATTTCGCCGAGTCCGTATCGCCGAATGGCGATCTGTCCAACTATGACGATACAGAAGCCTGGCCGAGCATTTTCGATGATTTCGTCGAATACGAAAACGATCAAGCTAATCAAAACATCAGCGACAAAGGGGTTGGGAAAAAGAACAGCGGCGTACCTTAAAAAAAAAAAAAGAAAACGATATATATTTATATTTTATTATGTGCTAATAATTTTTAGGGTTCTAGTAGTATATTGTTTTGTTGTCAAAGTTACTTTATTTTTATCATCTGACAAATGTATCATATATAATAAATTCCTCGACTAATATTAATGTAAATTTCAACAAGTCTGTTTGATTAATCCTAAAAGTGAATTGTTATTGACGCGGTATTCTACAAACATATATAATATATACAGCCGTACCTCAGAGTAAAAGTGTATTAAGTCAAAAATTTCAATTTCCTCGTTATTTGGTTCACCTAGATTTAAATTTCGCACTCTATTCACTCTATTCTACCTTCTACCATTTTTTTGGACTCTTAGATGAGCTCATCCAAGTTCATCCATTTAAATCAATTATTAATTAGTAATTGATAATTAGTTGTAAATAAATTTTGTTTTTCTCTTCTGTAAAAATTTACATTTGTGACTTGCTCTGGGGTAAGGATATTTATATAAAAATCAATTTTGTTAAAATATTTTTTTATTGAAGTACTCTTTTTAATAATGCGGCGTTTAGAACAAAAACTCTGTAGACTATAAATTATAATTTCTGTTTTATATGGTTTAAAGTTAATGATTTAGACAGATGGGTGATTTCAATGTGTTCAAAAATTTAAACGTGTAAATAAAAAAAAATAAAAATATGTAAATTTCTTTTCGATTAGGATAGAAACAAATTTGAATCGTTTCAATACCACTTATGCAACACAATTTGAAATATTTTTTATGAACTTCAAAATTTTACTATCGGGAATAGAATATACAGCTCTCGATCAGGAGTGCTGAATATCTAATCGTTTAGAAAAAGACTGACTAAATGTTTTAGTCAATCAAAAACCTGTGATACTTTCACGCTTGAACTCTCGACAAGCGCATGAATCTTGTTAATATTGTGATTTTTTTTTTTTTTTTGCTTTAGGCAATAAGTTAATTTACATTTTAAAATACTACAGTGTTTGACTTATACTCGTGTAATATTTAAAAAAATCTATATTATATTATTGTATCCTTAACTAATGTACAAAAATAACAATATCAATAATGTAAATACTTATTAATTTATTAAAATAATCGTTCGGGGTCTTGTTAATTTAATTAAATATATAACTATTTCTACTATGTAACGGCTTATCATCCTTTGGAACTAACCATTTTGCCACACTAGTCTTGGACCTTGAGTCTAATTTCAGACCTCCTAAAAAAAAAAACAAGTAAAAATAAAAGAAATTGTTGGCTTGTATGGTTGTTCCTAAGTTAGATGGATCGTGTTTCGAATGTTTTTTTTTAATTATTATGTATATGAGTTACAAGAGGCAAAAAACAGTTAGTTATGTCCAAAATTTGCATAATAGAATCGTGATTAAGGGTTTTCTTAGCTTACGCATACATCTCCCTATATGTTTCTATTTATATTTACTAAAAAATAGTTTAAATAAATAATAAAAAAAAATTAAATAAATGATAATTTTATTACTTAATAAATAGTTCAGCATTTTATTATATTTTATTTTTTGCCAATTTTGGAAGAGAAATTTTCAAAAAACAGAATGAAAAGTTTAACATATTCTCACGCTGTATTTAAGTGCTCGTAACGCACTGTAGAGCTTGTTCGAAAATTGAAATAATGTTTTTTATATTGACACAGAAAATACATCATAATATTTATTTATGATTTATTTGCACAAAGTAGGTAAATCAGATTTTGTAACGTCGAGAGAACCTCAGTAAAGTTCTTATTATTTCGAATAAAGTTTAAAAATGTTTTAGCTATGTTTTGATGAAAAAAAAAGTTAACTGCTGTCGAGGATGTCTTGATAGTCTGGAAAAATAAATGAACTATAAAAAAAAAAAGTCGTAAATACTGAACTAATACCAATAATTATCCGTGTAGTATTATGTAAACTATTACGAATCACAGTTAAATATTCAAATTAGGTTATGGAAAAAAATTGCCTATACCCATCTCCTTAAAAAAATATAAGGTGTATAACGTTCTCATAAAAAAAAAATCCCGGTATACGTTATGACAACTGCAGTTGCCATCAACTACTACTATAGTATCCATCTGCTCCACACGACATTTTTTAATTTTATTACTCGCAGTAGGTGTGTATTGTACAAAAGTCGCGTTATGCAAATCAAACGCCTCCGGAGACGATAACGTCACCTGTTTTGTGCTAAATTACTGTGCAAAGTCGACGCATGACATAGTATACCGTTTTATTAGATACCTCTGAGTTACACGTAGGCACAGCATTGTCATTGCTTACGTACATTTAAAATAAAAAATACGGTAAATTCGCCTATTGATCCTGATCTAAAATGATTTTTTTATTCTACCTGTCGGCCATATACATTTGGCATGTGTCGGCTGGTGTTGCAAATCCTGTGGACACTATGAAAGAGCTGCTGTCGTGTTCCGGATGGCGCGTTCTGGCCAGTCCCAACCTCGGCCGTCTCGACATTATAGACCGACAACATATGGACGACCGAGCCGAATACCAATTAATCGTTAGCCAATTGATGCCAATCGACCATTTGCTGGCGACAACGGTGACCGAAGGAAACGCGGCCGACCAAATCCGGCTAGCCCATCAGTTCCTGAGCTGTTCGTACGCCAGAGTGCTGACGGACTTGTGCGACTACGAGCGAGGCGTAGGGCCTCAGTGCAGGAGAATGGCCACGGCTTCGAAAACGTTCGACTGTCTAGAGGATTATCTGCGGGTGATCCGGCTTAAGAACCCGGCGGTTTCGCGCATGACCGGCGCCCTTTCGTCGCTGTACGATTTGGGAAGGCGACAGTCACAAACGCAATTCCAAAACGAAGTGTTCCGAGTTTTGGCAGAGATGCGCGACCATTACCGGAACAACGCCGTCGTCAGACCGCCCGAAGGCGACGACCGGGCCAAACGGCGTGTCGCCGTGGCCGCAAGCAAAGCCGTCGAACAGCACGCTCGCAACATGTCCGACCGGTTGACCATGTTCTACAATAGCTTTTGCCGGCCCATTTCGGATCGGCAACTAAACGACGGCCGTTCGGAAGCCACGGACGAGGTGAGGAGGTTCTTCGAATTTTCCGGCCAAGACGACGCTTACGTTGTGAAAATGATAAAAACACAATTACACAGGGTCGTCGTGGGGTTCACGGTGTCGCACGACGCCGCCTCCGGGTTTGAATACGATCCCGAATCGAACATCACTCGTATAATAACATACGATCCGAACACCGAGGTGCGGGTGGACCGCATGAACCGACTGCTGTCGAATCGAGTCAACTGGACGTCGCTGAAACCGCTGGAAATAAAAGAAAACGGCAGTGCCTATCGCACGAACATCGACGACTTGCTCGGGCCCGCCAGTGGCCTCGACGGCGTTGTTGTAGTGACCAAAGAAAACGTGTACGCCAAACTCAAGCAAGCGCATCAGTTGCTCAGCTGTCAGTACGCCTCAATTTTGAAAGAGTGTTGCGATCACGTCACTGATATGTGGATTAATTGTCAGGAATCAAAGGATTCGGTCTTTTCGAGGAAATTCCTTAAAATATTAAACGAGGCCGATCCGTCGGTGATGCGCATGATTGATGCGTTGTCCTATTTTTACAAATTGTCTCCGGACACCGCGTACAACAAAGTCGTTTTCTACTCGCTGGAACGTTTCAGAAGCTATTACAAAGACAAAACTGTACAGGAAGACAAAGACGCGGCGAGTTTGCGGCAGGACGTTGAAACGAATATTCTCGAAATCGTACGAACATCCCAGAAGTTCTATCAACAATTTTGCTACTCGGCGAACGACTTCAATACTTATTACGTTCCCTCGGGATTCGACAACAGAACGATCGTCGACAAAGGACTATTTTATAAAAACAGAATTAATTTGCTAACACAACTTACCGCTGTATTTAAGCATAAATAGATATTCGCAATGTATTTCAGAGCTATTAAATCTGTACAGAGGACATCTGTATACATGACCGCAATATTGTAGTAATAATGATAGTTATTTAATTAAAAACACAATTATTTTATTGTTACGGTACCTAAATTTATCATTTTAGCTGATTTTCATCTTCAGCCATAAACTGACAAAATAACGTTCAAGTCGATCTAATAGTAAATGCAAAATTGGGGCATTCAGATTGGTAAATCAGATTTTGTAAAAAGTCTAAGCTGCTAAACTTTCTATAGATCAATTTAACGTAAGTAATAATATATTTTCTCTGAAAATGATTAATAATTTTAGTTTTTTTACTTACCGCAATAATATATCGCCTATAAAATTACTTTACATTCAATCTTTTTAACCATCAACAGTTTCCCATGGCATAGTGTATTTGAAAATAGATTAACTATTCATTAATCCCATTAATCTGTTAAGAGGACGCCATAAATACATTTTAAAAACCAGTATTATGGCTAAGCGCGTAGAATGTAGATCAAAGTGAAATGGTAATAGAAAAAAAATGAGAACTTATACTAGGTTCTCTCTTCGGTATTTTTAGGAAACTTAAATTTTACCACTTAGAAAAGTAAAAAATAATGTCAAAATTAAATTGTAAATGATAAATGTTGAGTTGACAATAACAAAGAAAGTCTCCGAGAGAAACTGAATAAAGTTCTCGTTATTTTGAATAAGTAAAAAACAATGTTTGCAATGTTTCGGTGAAAAAAAATTGTAAATATGTCAAGCATGCTGAAATAGTCTAAGAAATAAATAACCTACCAAAAAAGAGTTCTAATTACTGAACTAATAATTATTTGTGTAATATCGCACAATGTAATAAGGCAAGACTGTCACAACTCAAAATTTGGGGTTTTTTAGTCTACTGCTATAATTTTGATCTACAAAATCGTCTACCGCCTTAAGTCGTCTTAAGTCGTCACTTAACCGACACCTCTACAATATATTAGTGTCGATATTGAATTTCTTCATTTTTATAGTTAAAATTATGCTGCCACATTTTTATTTACTGCG